CATAGCTTCTATTTACAGAAACAAGCTGATAACACTAATCAATGTGTATAGCGAGCCTGGTATAGCAGTCCAGTCACGCTTGCTTCCATAAAGCGTTGATCTGATCTGAGCTAGACATTATGTAACGATGAGATAGTTGGTGGGTATTTACAAACTACATAGTCCAAGTTGGCCACGTCGTGGACAACATGCATTCACCGTGACCACAGTGAGTTGGACAAACTTATGTATTTTAATAAATTATTAAATAATAAAATGTTATATAACTTTTCCCTTACCCCCTACCTGGTATTGATTTCAAGTAATCACTGATCTTTGTTAATACTACTCTTTCCTTTAATGCGCGATGTAGACACACTATAAAATTTGCATATAACATTAGCGCATAACAAAGATTGTGATCGATATGGTGGTGTTGAATATCTGTGCAATATGGCAGTGTCGTCTGAAAACCACGCATCAAAATGATTTCTGTTTATTTATTTACTGTTATAGATCCTGTGAACTAGCCATTGAATATGATGTCGGGAATAAATGGTTTTCTGAACAAGCTTTATTACTTATTGCTGGCAATATTCCAGTATGAATTGAGAGCAAACTGTGACACCAAATCCAGTCGTTGTTTTGTTATGCTTCTAAAATATATATATTTTTTAAATAAAATAAATTAAATAGAAATATTATGTGTATTTGTATGTGGAAACAAGACTGGCTCACTCAAAAATATAAAGAAATGAGGTCTGCAGTTTTTTTTTTTAAGTTTTTTTATTTGTGAAAAAAAATGGCATTTTACAGTGTAAACAATAAAACACTCACAGTGCGAGGCTAGTTCACCAACATGTCAATTCTCTTGCTTGAGTGTGAAAGTACATGGTTTAGTGACTACCTCTTATATTTTTAAATTTTAGAATTTCATTTATTTGGGAAGGTTCTTCTATAAAAATAGAACAGATATATATATAGAAGCAATGTAAAAGTTGCTTTGTCGAAATGTGTTTGAGAACTTTCGAACCGTTTGGGTCCGCTTCTTGGCGCATGGCAAGTTATGCCCGTCTAATCGTTTAACAGGGGAAAGAGACTGCATATAAACTTGAAAAAAATGAATTTTTCTCGATGTCAAACCGGTTGCTATGTAGTAATTGTATGGAACAATGCATTCTGGTTGTCCAACTACGGAATGCGGTAAACCTATCCATAGCTATAGTACACTATTTTCAGAGACTCATTTTCGCCCCAGAGTTTATTTTCGCTTCGAGACTCAACGGAATAAATCTGTGTAGGCTTGGCGTAAAAGAGGCCGGGGCCATGGCGTACGACGATGCGGCGACTTGGATTCAGTAATACTCCACTATTTGGCTCAAGCAAGACTGTAAGGCTGTATGTTAAACCATGGAGCTCCATGGTTAAACGTACGATGTATAAAACGCGTCGCCGTGTTCACATTACTAACTATTATCAGCTCATTACCGACTGGCACCGAACCAATTCTGTCGTCGTATCGCTTATTTGGAATAAAGACGTGTTTTAAGAGCAGGTCAAACCTTCCACCAGTATTCGACTGAAGTCTGTCATATTGTATTGCTTAACTGAAGAATGACACCTCTTGGTGTGTGAATTGAGTCTTATCCATTTAACATCAACAAACCACCAACTATTAATTGCAGCGGATTTCCTAATTTGTAATACACATTTTAAATTTAAATATTTTATTATATTATTAACAGTTCCATAATGTCTCTCACACGGGCATAGTTGTACCAAGGCTTCGAATGTAATTTATTCCAGGGACGTAACGACAAGCGTATTTTATTTACGAATTGTACAGCTACCAGTCTTTTCAACATCAGCATCCGCTATTGTTATTTGCACATGGTGGGATCTAGGCACGCGCCGAAATTTTTAAGCCTTTATGTTTGGAGAGAATTACAGCACTGGGTTTACGATTGTCCGGACCCACATCTTGACCCACTGGGCTCGTGCAGAAATCACGCTGTCATTCGTCGATCTGTTAGTTGAACCAAACATGGAAAGGGATACACATATGATGAAAACAATAATTGACATATTGAAATTAATTCCTTTTGTTATTATAGTATTTATTGCGAGTCATCGTGCAATGAGTGGCTTAGAAGTTTTGATATTTATTTGTTTACGTCAATGTAGCATTGCAAGAAAATATCGGTTGCAGCACATGAATATTCGTCGCCGACGACACAGTCACTCTACTCACCTAGTGGAGTGACTGTGATTTCAATCATTACTACTGTATCCGATCATATGTATATTTATGTGTTCTCTAAAAATTCACCACTGATTTCGTTTCGTGCCGAGCGTTCAAGTAGATCTCTAAGGTGAACGCCACTAATGTGTACCCGAAAGTGACTTGGTTGAGAAATGATTACGTACTACAATATACTAACACTGACACTTTTTTTCTAACTTTTGAAAGTAATAGTTTTAAGAAACATTCATTGTGTGTTTTAATCATAGGTTAATCAACAGTATGTTTATAAGTTCAGTCACATCAGACAAAACACATATCACTTGATGCCACAGTGGTAACACCTCTTTAATTGTAGAAGTAACACACATGATCATAAACAATTGCTATGTTCACTCGGCAGCATTTTATCGGAGCCGAACTACTGCTCCTCCCACGGATTAACAGGAGATTATCTACAATGCGTTCATTCGTTCGGGAGCCGAACGAGAGCCGAGATTTGCCAGAGTTAGATTCAGTTCGATCAGAGTCGAGCGGAACAGTGCCCTTGAATAATTAGTGACTGAAAACGATTTTAACGTCGTGCTTGTGTTTTTTCTTTACATGTCATGATGCTGTTGAGCTAGGAGAAAAAAGAGCCTGAGCATGGAGGTAGAAAAGACAATGACTGATATTATGATTTAGGCATATGTACTAGTATCTCGAATAAACAGGAAACACGGCAGCTAAAATGCGTTTAATACAGCCTATTCGCTCAAGATATCGTCATGCAAAATTACCATTTAGTAACTATTCAACTGTAGTGATATCTAAACTACTAGGAAGAATCACAGATTCTCTCTATCTATCATAGAGGGACTATGGAAGAATCTAAACCTATCAGGAACACGTCACTGTACCGCGATCGCTTCTACGATTTTTATATTTAGTGTCTTTAAAAAGTTTCCGTTCTGTCGTTCTTTCAAGTTGTTGTCGCATAATTTCGTACGCCATTTTTTGTTTCCCGTTGAGCTAACAATCTATCGCAATGATTCGTTACTATTAGGACGTGTACCTCTTATTCAAGCGGGAAATTGCGTGAAATTATGAAAGATGTTGTCTCCGCCATAATTGAAATAAGAGGTTACTCGAAGAAGACGATTGAGGGCCTGATTTCGGCTCCGATATTTGGGTCCGATGCGTTTTCACGATCGGAGCCATGTCGGGACTCAACCCTATCGGAGTTCAACCCCAAGGGTTTAGTGGAGCCGAACTTGGCTCGAGCCGGCTCGAGCCGAACGCGTTTACACGGCCATTTTTGCTGGCTCGAGCCGTTGGGCTCCGATAAAATGCTGTCGTGTGAACGTAGCAAATGTATTAACCAACAAGTGTGAGCGTCTTGGCTTAGTTCAAGTACAGCCCCTTTCACGTTTTTTTTTTTCAAAACATAAAATATGTCGGAACTTCGTTCTATCATAGCCCAACTAGACTTTTTTTTAGATTTTTGAAATGTCATACATTTGATCTAATAAAGACGTACAAAGAAGCGTGATGTATTGGAGCTAAGCACGTCTGGGGTACATCAATTATCAAGCCACGACTGTGTTTGTCGTTGATTGCGGGATCATGACCAGTAATTGTACTTAAGCAATTTAAAAACATGTTGTATGAGGGCGCTATATACGAACATGGAATAATTTTATATGTGGACAACGCTTATACCTAATGCACATTTAAATTGTAAACGGTTATATACACCATGTAAGGATAAATATTAAAAGACAGTTCCCGGAAAACGTCAAAATAAGTTAATTTACAATGGGCGTACTCTGCGTACATGACGTGGAAGAACACAAGAATACACCGGAAACCGTTAACATAATAATCGGTAACCCAGCTGTATATGTTGTTTCAGTTTCAACGTAAATTGGCGTATATTTTTGCATTTACGTTTCTTCCGCCCAACTTAATCAGCGGTTATTTGAAATTATACGTTATAAACGTTGAACGGAAATCTGCGGTTTTTCAGAAATTACCGTTGATTTACGTTGCACTGAATGGACGATAAACGTAGCATTTCCGGCTGCCGGTTACGCGACGGATATGCCACCCCCATAGTCCGATGGTTACGCAACGGTTACACTGCATAACCGCCATGTAACCGTTGTGTAACCGTACCGGAAACACGCGATTTTATGCTGTTTTCTGGGCTAAAAATATCAAGCACCACAGCGTGGCTTGAATTCAATACGAATATTACATCACTAGTTTCCGCTGATGTCACCATACTTGTCCATATCATATTAGTATAAGCCAATTTAAAGTATTACAGGCACTTGATATGTGAAAAGAACATTTAATGACAAATTAAATAAATGGATAACATATCACACAAATAATGTTCAGCCATATAATGAAATATTATTGTAATCATCTTTAACTATCGTTTTTAATAATAATTCATTGACAGTGTACAAAATGCCTCCAGCAATAAATTTAAGTACTGGGTAACAATACAAAACTAAATCAAACTGTGAAATATTATAATTACATAACGTGGTACTTTCAAAATGAAAATTTACTCACACTCAGATCCATGTTTATAGTTGACATTTGTTGCATAAATGTATCTAGTTTGGGATGTATGCAGTAATATACTGTAATATTTTCTAACAATGCATACTAAATATGGCATTGCAAAATAAAATTTAAATTGTCATTCAATAAAATGTATGTTTTATCTATTTTATATCAAAACATCTTGATCGAAACGTCATCACACTTTTGCATACATGACGAATTAGAAAAATACCACATGTCTGAATGTCTCTGTGCCTTTACTTTTTAAAATGTTTTGGTCTAGTTTATCGATTTTATAGCTCAAATTCTCATTCCCATTCAATGCCTTCTTATTTCTAGAAAGAAAGCACATTCTGAATGTCTCTGTTCCCTGACTCACTGTTTTAATGCCACTCCTGTTATCCTCTTGAGTACTTTTCAAAAAATCTAACACGACCAATGATCTCTTCTCCAGCTGATCAGCGTTCTTCATGGATTGGATATTTCGAGTGTGCATTTGTTCTCCTAGATCGCTTGAATGAACAAAACTATTGTCACATTCTTTGCACTGAAATAGCTTCAGCCCTGTATGTATATGCATATGATTTCTTACACCCCCAAGCTGATTGAAGCATTTTTCGCATTGTTTACACTTAAATGGCTTCAATCCTGTATGTGTAAACATGTGTTTTAGACTACCAGAATGAGTGAAGCATTTCTCGCATTGTTTGCCCTGAAATGGCTTCAATCCTGTATGTGTATGCATGTGCTCCTTCAGATGGCCAGACTGAGTGAAGCTTTTCTTGCATTGTTCGCATTGAAATGGCTTTAATCCTTTATGTGTAAGCATGTGCTGTTTTAGATATGTTGAACGAGCAAAACGCTTCTCACATTGTTTGCATTGAAATATTTTCAATCCTGTATGTGTAAACATGTGATTTCTTAGACTACCAGACTGAGTGAAGCTTTTCCTGCATTGCTTGCACTGAAATGGCTTCAATCCTGTATGTGTACGCATGTGCTCATTCAGATGCCCCGCCTGAGTAAAACACTTCTCACATTGTTTGCACTGAAATGGCTTCAATCCTGTATGTGTAAGCATGTGATTTTTCAGACCACCAGACTGAGTGAAGCATTTTTCGCATTGTTTACACTTAAATGGCTTCAATCCTGTATGTGTAAGCATGTGATTTTTCAGACCACCAGACTGAATAAAGCATTTGTCACATTGTTTGCACTGAAATGGTTTCCCCCCTGTATGTGCAAGCATATGCTGTTTTAGATAGCTAGAGCGAGTGAAACACTTTCTCACATTGTTTGCACTGAAATGGCTTCAATCCTGTATGTGTAAGCATGTGAATTTTTCAGACCACCAGACTGAGTGAAGCATTTTTCGCATTGTTTACACTTAAATGGCTTCAAATCCTGTATGTGTAAGCATGTGATTTTTCATACCACCAGACTGAATAAAGCATTTGTCACATTGTTTGCACTGAAATGGTGTCCCCCCTGAATGTGCAAGCATATGCTGTTTTAGATAGCTAGAGCGAGTGAAACACTTTTCGCATTTTTTGCACTGAAATGGGTTCACCTCTGTATGTACAAGCATGTGCTCTTTCAGATACCATAATCTAGTATAACGCTTCTCACATTGTTTGCACTGAAATGGCTTAAATCCTGTATGTGTAAGCATGTGCGTTTTTAGACTACCAGAGTGAGTGAAGCATTTCTTGCATTGTTTGCACTGGAATGGCTTCAATCCTGTATGTGTACGCATGTGCTCCTTCAGATGCCCCGACTGAGTAAAACACTTCTCGCATTGTTTGCACTTATATGGCTTCAAGCCTGTATGTGTACGCATGTGACGTTTTAGATTACAACACTGAGTAAAGCATTTCTCACATTGCTCGCACTTGAATGGTTTCAGTCCTGTATGTGTAAGCGTGTGATATTTTAGACCACCAGAAGAAGTGAAGCGTTTCTTGCATTGTTTGCACTGAAATGGCTTCAGTCTTGTATGTGTACGCATGTGCTTTATTAGACCACCAGACTGAGTGAAGCTTTTCTTGCATTGTTTACACTGAAATGGCTTCAGCCCTGTATGTGTAAGCATGTGCTGTTTTAGAAGGCACGACTGAGTGAAATACTTCTCACATTGCGTGCACTGAAACCCTTTTTCCATGGACTGCACACATTCAGGTTCTCTGTTGATTTTGTCAACACCTCTACTGGTATCTGTCTTCGATGGCATAATGCAATCTGTATTTACTTCCATTATTAGGTTCTATAAGTATAGCTGAGTGTACGAATTAGAATGCAGTATGAATGTAATCTTAAATGTACTACATTGTATTCCAGGGCTTCATTGTGTGAAGTGTTCTTCATCTATATCTTGGCAGCAAGTTCAGTTTTCATCTACAAAATAACAGAATGAAACAATATAACAAAATACATTTGGAGTGCAACATCATGAAATGATGGATATCTAACTGCAGTTTACCATGTATTTATGTGCTTCTATAGAGCCTAGCCTTAACCTATCAAAATATTATTAACTGGCAATGTAGAATATTAGCTGACAAGAATGATTCCAGCATAATAAGCGGGTCTAGCTCGAATGCTAGTTTATCCTAGGTTCTGTAGAGACACTTAGAAAAGTGTAATGTATGTAAATAAAAATACGGTGTGATAACAATGCAGCCTGTCTAGCTATAATACAAGATTTGTATGTGTCTCTACAGAGTTTATCAACATAGCTACATGTAAATACTATTTAGAGATAACGTATCAATGTATAAGTATTATGTGATCACAAAGCACCATATCTAGCTAATTTTCTGTGTGTCTCAGAGTCCACGAAAATAGCTTCATGTGATACAATAAAAAATAAAAATAAAAGTAAGGTGTGATATCAGAGCAGCCTACATAGCTAGAATGCTAGTTATCAAAGAGTCTTTTTAGAGGCTGAAATATTACCTACACTTGGATGTATTAAATGTATTAAAATAAAAGTATGGTATGATGTGATATCATATCAGCCTACATAGCTAGAATTAGGCAGAGTGTTTCAACCCACCTGTTCACATAGTTCATACCCACCATAGACTCAGGTCAGTCAAAATTATCTGTGATTCAGCCATCGACAGAGAGAGAATTACAGGTCAGGGAAGCCCCATGACCTCATAGATTTTCTTCCACAGAAGGAACCTGAAGTATATGGTAGGGTAAAAACTGTGTGAATAGGCGGGTTGAAAACCCTATGCCTAAATTCACTACATTCAATTACCCACCGCAGACTCCAGTCAGTGAAAATGACTATTTGAAACTGTAGAAACAGTAAAGGATGTCCCAGTCTGGGACAAACCCAGATGCGTAGGTGACTAGCATTCCAAAGAAAAAAGAGGCCGACACAGTTCTGCATGAGGGCATAGGCCGAAAACGAGATCATGACATGTCCAAGGTTTGCAGACGGGAGAAACTTCTCTGCACAAATCTATAGGAGAGACTACTCTTTCATCTATGCACAGTGAACCCTGTGGTCATCTGGGCCGGGTCAGTAACCATAGTATTACCCACTATTGA